AAAATTCAAAAAAAATATTTTTTTTGAAAATTTTTTATACTTAAAAACGCCTATAATGACTGAAAATAGTCTGAAAATCGAAAAAAAAAATTTTTTTTTCAAAAATTTAAAAATCTATTTTTCCTGAAAAATGGCTGAAAATGGCATAAAAAATGGCAAAAAAAATAGCTCAAATATGGCTAAAAATGGCTAAAAAGGCGGAAAAATGGCCTAAAAGTAGCTGAAAAACGGTTTAAAATGACTCAGAAATGGCTGACAAATGGCTGAAAATTTCGAAAAATTCAAAATAAAATTATTTTTTGTTGAAAAATTTTTATACTTGAAAACAGCTATAATGACTGACCATGTCAAAATGACCTGGAAAACGCACCGAGGGCATTTTGAACCATTTCCAGGCTAAAAAAAAATGGTGGCCGAGAAAACTCAACTTGCAAAAATTAGGCCATCATGTCAAAATGGCCTAGAAAATCCACCGGGGTCATTTTAGGGCATTTATAAGCCAAAAAATGGTGATGGCCTAGAGAACCCAACTTGAAAAAAAGTTAGGCCACCATGTGTGAAAATTTAAATTTCCCGCCTATCCATGCTCACCTGATAGGTCTTAAACTCCTGCTCGCACTTCTTCTCCCATGCCAGGGTGCGGAATAGCTCGGTGGCCAGGATGAGCAAAATTGGGATGAGCAATCCGATGACGATGAGCATCTGACGGGATACTGTAGACTTGCGGAACGGATATCGAATCGATTCATCGTCACAGTAGAAGCCGCGACGGTACGGTGGCACGAATTCGTGGAAGATGTAGAGGGGGATGGCTGAAATTTTGGGATTTTTGAGAATTTTGAAGAAAAAAATTTTTGAAAAAAAATTTATTTTTTTTTTCGATTTTCAGCCTATTTTCAGCTGTAATAGCCGTTTTTAACTAAAAAAATTTGAAAAAAACATTTTTAAAAAATTTTTCCACCATTTTTCAGCCATTTTGGCTGGAAAAATGAATTTTTGAAAAAAAATTTTTTTTTCGATTTTCAGACTATATTCAGACCTAATAGCCGTTTTTAAGAATTAAAAATTTTTCAAAAAAAATTGTTTTTTTGAAACTTTTTTTCCAATTTTCAGTTATTTTTCAGTTATTTTTCAGCCATTTTTCAGCCATTTTTCAGCAATTTTTAAGCCAATTTTCAGCTATTTTTTAGGCCAATTTAAGCTTAATTTTTAGCCCAATTCCAGCTAATTTTCAGCCATTTTCAGGCCATTTTTAGCCATTTTCAGCCAATTTTTCAGCTATTTTTCAGCCATTTTTCAGCAATTTTTCAGCAATTTTTCAGCCATTTTTCAGCCATTTTTTAGCCATTTTTTAGCCATTTATCCGCCAATTTTCAGCTATTTTTTAGCCATTTTCAAGCCGTTTTCAACCGATTTTTTCAAATTTTTTTTTGCAAATTTTTTCTGTGTGTCCGTATATTCGGATGTCCTCCCCCCCCTTGCTTACCAATAAGTGTGAGAACCAGAAAATCGCAGAGCACACGGCTCATACGAATCGTGTTGTTGCTGTTGTCGCTCATCGCGTTCCCCAGGCAACCGATTCGATTTGCCCGCCCAAGCGTCTGGAAATTTTCAGATAATTAATTTTAGGGCGAAAATTCTGGATTTTTAGAATTTCAGAAAGCGCGAGAAATCGAAAAAAAACACGCAGATTTCTTGGGGGGGGGGGGGAATGGAAAAATCGAAAAAATCGGAAAAAAGGAGTGAATCATATGGAGAAAAGAACAAAAAAAAACATCCGATTTGTTGATCAAAAAATATGAGAAAAATAACAAAAAACGTCTGGAAAATTCTCTAATAAAAAACCGGAAATTTTGAAATTCCAAACAAAAAAAAATTTCATAAACCTCATAGAAATGTCCCAGGATACAATAGAAAAATACCGTAAAACCTTTATTAGAAGGGCCCCCCTTCGAAATGTGTTTAAACAATTTTTTGCACCCAAAAAATCAGACAATATTTCAGCTTACAACTTTCAGCTTAACCCTCAAATCCTCTCAGATTTTTTTGGGATTATCCCAAAAAAAATTTCCTGACGCAAATAACAAAAAATCCGATTTTTTTAAATACTAAATGACCTCATTTTCTACTGAGTCATATGGCCTAACTTTTTTGGAAGGTTAGGTTTTCTAGGCCACCACCAAAACGTTAGGCCACTGAAGCCCAAATTTGACACGG